AAAAATATTGACACTTGGCCCTGTGTCTATCTTAGCCAATAATGAATAGTCACCAGTTTTCTTAAAACAAATCATTTGAAGTTTCACAAACACTTTTGATTATGAGTTGACATTGATGTTTTCCATTAGACTGACAGTGTGAAACATGTGTACACCACTCTTTGTTTTATCATGTATTTCATCAGATCCTAGTTTATCGATCACCTCGTGCATACACATCTGGTGGGATAGAAGAGGGTCTTTATGGTTGCTGGATGACTGTCCTCGAGTACAGTCAGTTTGGTTTGGGGCAAGGCTGTGGTATAAGTGGTATAAGTCTTTGATCTAAGTACACTGCCTCTGCCAATGACCTCTTCTGCCACACACCTTACAAAGTTGGTTGAAAGCTTGGCCTTTCCTTGGTGCATACAGAAGGCAGCGCCTTATTCATGTCTTTGTATGTTTAGGTATTCTAGCAATTGGGTCAACTGCTGAGTTCATTCTCAGAACCTGTAAGCTTTGTCAACCAGCAAGGATCACTTCATACCTCCATCCTACAGTAGCTCATTGACACTTTAAGTTTCTAGTTTATCTAGAAAATCTTTCTGGAAAGTTTCCATTGGATGGATGTGATCACCAAATGAACAAATTTTATCTGAAAAGAGCTTTTTTCCCTGCATCTGATCTATGGATTTTGTAGGCTTCTGTCTTAGTAACATAATTCTATTTGATGACTGCAGAAGTTTAATCTGCCTTTAAATTACTCTTCTAATCTGGTCCATATGTTTTGTAGATCTGTTTAGTATTTCAGCTGTCAATCTGGATGTGTTAAATGTATGTAGATCTTCATTCCCAATTGCTAAGCAAAACTTAAGGTCTTTTTCTACCTGCATTGTTCACACCTCAATCTAAACAGCAGAGTTCCGAATTCTGGTTAAATATTTTAAATTCTGTTAGGAGATCTGCTGTGCCCCAATTTAAGCTGGGCTAATTTTGTATATAATTGAATGAAATACCTTTGACCTTTTCTTGCTTGCAATCTATCCAGCACACATCCTGATCACTTGCCTTTCTCATATGAATTAAATTGGCCTCTTGCTAGGGGTTTGTCTGCTTACCAGCAAGCTGTGTATCCATCTCCCTCTGATGCTATAACAATCACAGATATCAAGGGTTGTCTCACGCACTTTGGAATGGGTTATGCCTGTTGACAATGTGTTTCGGCTATGGGTTAACTAGCTTGCTAACTGCTCAAGCTCAATAGGACTCAATGGCACAACGTTTTCCATCACTGTATCAGGAAGGAAGGAATAGAAAGGGTACATTGATAGAATTAGATAAAGTGGGGATGGAGCAAGCTCTTGTGGAACACGTAAAACACGGATTAGAATCTACTGGGACGAGTAATCTGTTTCTGGGCTGTAATCTTGATGTGATTCCATGTGTAGGATGCACATCTCATGATATAAGTGCAAGGATCCAATACTGACACCCACTCTGCATTAGACCAGGTGTTGTATTCTGTCCAGTGATCACAATACTTACACTAATCCAGTGGGAAGGCTTGAGGGAAAATTCTGCTTTAGATCACAGACATTAAAAGATGGAGTAAAATCAATTTCTGTTGGAATAATATGTTGGATGAAGATGAATCAGTTTGTCAGGACAGTGAAGGTGATCAATAACATGGAAATGAAGAGACACTTTTCTCCAAGATGAAACTATCACAACGCAAGGGATGATATTACAAGCTATCCGAAACCTCTTGAGAAAGCCCTAACATAACCCACAACCTGTTGCACATGAGTTTCGACTGTGCGAGCAAACAGATTTTTCCTGTTTTTACCAAAGTAAAATTCTATAAATAAAGGTTTATAATCCTCCGTTTTCTCTTTGTCCAAATCTAAATGGAAACTGGGAGGAGAACTCTCTTGATATATACTTTCAAAAGATTAGTGTGCCGCTGTCAATGCCCACATTTGTTGATCATCCCTAATTGCCCTTGAGAATATTATATTTAAAAATGAGTTATCTTCCACAATGATTTCCCATTGGAATCGATAGATGACATTCAATACATACACGAGCAGATCAATCGAAATCACATTAAAGTCACAGAAATACATCACTCAGGACATTTTCTGTCATTTGATCCCAGTAATGTTGGACTCACTGGATGGTTGTTTGCTCTAAGAATCCAGTCTTGCTTTGGATGCAGAGGAAATGTATTTAAATTGCAAAACCCAGTCCAAACTCTCAGAGAATAATCGATTGAGCAGGGGTTGGGGTGCACCTTTGTAGCATTGGGAAACCTCAATGTGCTGAAAGACGTGACCCAGCTCAACTGAAACAAAGCCCAGAGCCACCTTTCTTTACATTTGTTTTTGGGATTTGTTTTGCAATTGTTGAGTTGCATCAGGTCGCAAGGCCAGAAACAGGTAATTCAATCCAATTGCCCCATGTCAGTATTTATGTTCCAGATAAACATCCCCACCACACCCCACAACCTACATCCTACATTATCTCACCCTGATCAATTTCATGGTAATGTTATGGGATAGTAACCCAGAGGTTCTGCTGTAACTCACGTTCCACTCAGTCTGGAATCAAATTCTCATCTCATTATTAATAACCATAAAACTACTGGATCTTCATAAAAGTCCATCTTGGTTCACTCATGTCCTTTAGGGAAGGAAATCTGCCGAACATATCAGGTCTGACCGACATGTGACTCCAGACCCACAGTGATGTGGCTGACTCTGAAATGGCTAAGAAAGACACTCTGACCCCCACAGCAAGGTAGACAGGGCAATTAGAACTGGGTAATAAATGTTGACCTTCCCAGCAACGTTCACGACAAATGGAAACTGACTTTTGACTCTTCCTCGTGTGTTCACCTACATTCCCTGAACATGCCTGTGCTAATGACCTCAACTGTTCATTTTGGTAGCAAGTCCCACATTCTCACCGCTCTCTGGACAAAGTTGTCTTCCCTGAATTCCTGATTGAGTTTTGTTTTTTGTGATTATTATATTTAAAAAGCTCCTAATTTCTGAATTCCCTACAAGTGGAGACATCTTCTTGAAATTGACCTGACCAAACTTCTTCACCTTTATAAAGGCTCCTGTTAAAGTCCCTGCACAGTGGCTTTCTGTTCTAGAGAAACAAGTCCCAGACTTAATTGGTGGCAAATTTTCTCAGTCCTTGTATCACCTTTGTAATTTTTTTTTAACATTTCTCCAATGCCTCCATATCCTGCAGTCATCTCTTTTCCAAAGGGTGATTCAGTTCAAGCATTTGAATGGGAACTCTGCTGATTCCCAATTCATTGAAATGGCCAGCATCAGGATTTTAACAGGGAGAAGATGAAAATAAAAATGGTCAGACTGCCTCCAGAAAATAAGAGCTAAAACTAAAATACAGAGTCATCCGACTGAACCAAAGCAGCTCCCTCGAGATTCCAACTGAATAGTCGAACAGATTACAGACAGGTTGGACTAGTTTAGTTTGGGATCATGTTCAGCCTGGACTGGTTGACCAAAGGGTCTGTTTCCATGCTGTATGACTCTATGACTCTCTGAGCATTGATGGATAGGCTAAGGTGTAATGGAGCCTATGCGGGGCAGTGGTGGGGGTGTGGTGTTGGGGGCTGGGGTGTGGTTCTCACCTATTGGTCGAAGAACCATGTTGGGAACTCCCATCAGATCTTTGGGCCAGGCCTAGTGGAATTGAGTGCCCAGCAAGCATTTAACCTCCCACTGCTGGCCCTTCCGCAAGATTGAGAGCCCTGGGGAGGAGGTAGAAATCTCATTGGCTCTTCATTGGGGTCAGCACTGCAGTAATGTGGGGAGGAGGCTTCTGGCAATGCATATACTGCAGGCTACGCAAAACCAGCACAGACATTATGGGCCAAATGGCCTCCTTTTTCTCCAATACAATTTGTGGTTCCGTGAGGCCTAGGATTAATCATAGAACACCTACAATGTGCTAAGAGGCTATTCAGCCCAGCGAGTTCACACCGACCCTCCAAAGAGCATCCCACCTAGACAAAGCCCCCCTACTCTATCCCTGTAACCCTGCATTCCCTATGGCCAACCCACCTAGCCTGCACACCCCTGGACCCTAAGGGGCAATTTAGTATGTCCAATCCACCCTAACCTGCACATCTTTGGACTGTGGGAGGAAATTGGAGCATCTGGAGGGACGGGGAGAATGTGCAAACTCCACACAGACAGTTGCCCAAGGTTGGAACCGAACCCAGGTCCCTGGCACTGTGAGACAGCAGTGCTAACCACTGAGTCACCGTATTCAGTGATCAAGCCAAAAGCAAGGGAGAATGGGAGGGAGGGAGGGAGTTGGGGGAGTGGGGGGGATGCAATCGTATTGGAGGTCCCACACCCAGTGTCAACTCTCCTGATTGGGTACTAGGTGCCCTTGAAAGGGAGAACCCACCCCTCTCACCAAAACAGAAAGTCATCAGAAAACATGCCAAGGTTTGCCAGGCAACTTCCAAAGCACAAGCCACTCTCATATTATTCCTGATCCAATAGGAGAGCCCAGTGGCCTTGGAACAGCCAGCATCAATGCACCTAATAATAAATTAATCAATAGCACCCAGCCCCAAGTGTTCTAGTCTCCCCCACTGGGTCCCCTCCTACCTCCAAAGTAGTCAGGGGAGATTTCCCCAGCAGAGGGAGACTGCCACGGGACCTCATTTCTGATTCACGGCCATGTTTTCCATTGCAGAGGGCTGTTTTAAATGCTGCCTGTTTTATTTTAAGTGCTAATGTGATCAGAACATTTTGTTTTGTCTATTATTCATCGTAAATTTGCTAATGAGCTGATTGTCTATTCAGGGAAACATTAAAACCTTAGGCTCTTGGGGAAATAGGACTTTGTGGAAATATAATTTTTTGGAAGTTGTTTAAAAAGTTTATTGATTCTTGCAAGTGCAGTAACAATATAATTGAAATCTTGGTATTGATATTTTCTCTCCAGTGTAAAGCAATATTGATACTTTAAATGAAACATCACCCCTTTGTAACTCCAAGGTGCTTGTTTGCAAATCTCTGTAAGATAGGAACAAAGAAATATTTTGTCAATTCCTTGTCATAGAACAAAAATCATTGCATGCAAAATACCAATTCGATTGCGGCTTGTATGTGCTTCTGATTTAGTTAACATTCTTCGGGCATGAATGGGTCAGAATTTACCCAGAACTTGACAGCTGTATGCATTGTGCGTAGAAACCTGAACTAATAATGAGGAAAAGGTGCATCCAGTTCTTAACCCTTAATATTCAATGGCTTTGCGATTGATAAGTCCCCAAATATTAACATCTCAGGGGTTACCATTGGCTAGAAACTGCATTGCATTAGCCAAAAAATACTGTGGCTATAAGAACAGGTCAGAGGCTGGGAATCCTGCAGCAAGTAACTCACCTCCTGATTTAGCAAAACCTATCCACCATGTATAAAACACAAGTCAGGAGTGTGATGGAATACTCCCCAGTTGCCTGGATGGGCGCAGCTCCACCAACATACAAGAAGCTTGATATCATCCAGGACAAAGCAGCCCACTAGATTAGCACAACATCCACAAACATCCACTCCCTCCACCACCTACACTCAGTAGCAGCAGTGTGTACTATCTACAAGATGTACTGCAGAAATTCACCAATCCTGAGAATTCCTCAGTCAGCACCTTTCAAACCCACAACCACTATTATCTAGAATGACCAGGGCAGCAAATAAATGGGAACACCATCCCCTGCAAGTTCCCCTCTATCAGGCTTGGAAATATATCACCATTCTTTGCTTTATTTTGGAAATGTATCACTATTCCTTCAGTGTTGCAAGGTCAAAACTCTGGAATTCCTCCCCTAACAATGTTGTGGGGGATTCCTACAGCACACAGACTGAAGGCAGCTCACCACCACCTTGTCAAAGGTAGTTGGGGATGGGCAATAAATACTAACCCAGCCAGCACCGCTGACATCCCATGAGCAAACATCATGGCTGGCTCGATGGTTGCATGGCTTCACTGTTTAGAATTGTGCAAATGACAGCTCAGGATTCTTCTGAATGAAGTTTTGGATTCACAGCATAAACATTATCTCATATTCCCACGACAAGTAAGGGCTGCTGTATCATGGGGTGTGATGATCCTGTTAATACTGTGGTCCTGACAGGGAACAGTGGAGACACATTCCTGGGGGTAGAAGAAGGATTCAAGCCCAGGGCCCCAGACCATTTGTGCTAGCCTCTGGATTACTAGCCCAATCACATTAGTTCTAAACCACCATCTCCCCTAACCACCCAGTGGTGAGTTTACGCAGGCAATTTCGACTTTAGATGCAGACACTGAAAGTTAAATTGGAATGTTAGAGTAGTTGTTTGGTCGTACAGGAATTGCGTATTGTCAAAAACATTCATCTTCCACACATCAGGACAGTTTGCGAGAATACCAATACAAAGGGAAAACGACATTTTTTTTTGATGTGTTCATAAATGTGGGTGTCACTGACTAAGCCAGTGCTTGTTATCCATTCCTCATTGCCCTGGGGAAAGTGATGATGCCTTTTTGCCATACTGCAGTCTTTGGGGTACAGATACATCCAAAGAACAGAAGGGAATTCCAGGTTTTTAATCCAGCAACTACGTAGGAACAGCAAAGGGGTTCTAGGTCAGGATAGTGTTTGGCTTGGAGGACAACTTGCATTTAGTGGTGTATCCAAGTGTTTTTATTGCTCTTTGCCCTTCTAGATGGTAGAGGCTGTGATTTGCAAAGATCTTTGGTGAGTTATTTCAATACTTCACTGTAAATTGGCAGTGGAGGGGCTTAATGTTGTAAGTGACGAATGGGATGCCAATCAAGTGGGCTGCTTTCTCATTTATACTGTATGAGAGGAGAATGCTGATTGGTTGGCAAGTGGACTGTGATTGGAAGGCATGTTCCCATGGAGAATGCACCAATTCATGATGGCTGATAGTTAATTGCCAATCATCATATACGTTTTAAACCGGACAGTTTGATTTTGATTGGTTGAGGAAATACCTCGAGAAATTAAAGAATGATTGTCGCCTCTTTTGTTGCATTGAAATGAGCATTTCTTTGGCTTTTCTTGCAAATTATTCTGATAAGTGTACGACAATAAATTTCAACAAAACGTGTTGTTCCTTTTTCAGCAATATTCAAATATAAAAGCAATGTAAAGAATGGATTTGGCCTCTAAGCCTGTTTTCAGATAGGCAACCGTGATGGTGTGAATGCTGACGGGCTAGTCAATTGGCAGATGATTGTAAATGAGTGCCAAGGATAGCATGCTGGTTTTATTTAGATCATTCAATATTCCAAGTTGGCTTCTGAGCTAACATCACAAAGATACTTAAAACAGAAACAAAAACAGAAATTGCTGGAAAAGCTCAGCAAGTCTGGCAGCATCTCTGGAGAGAAATCAGAGTTAATGTTTCGGGTCCAGTGACCCTTCTACGGAACTCATGCGGGGTGTGTCTGAGCCACAGGAATGTGATGTGGCTGTGGAAACAGGTTTTAGCAAATACCTGGTCAAACATCGGGAGTGACAATGAAATTAATGACAGTAGACAAGAAAAAAGATTGAAGTGGAAATCCTGTCAGAGAGAGGAGCAGAACTCCTTCAAGGCGGGCATGGAAGAGATGTGGCAGTGAGTTAAATACTAAATAAAAATTGAAAGAACTACAGATACTGGAAATCAGAAACAAAAACGGAAGTTGCTGGAAAAGCTCAGCAGGTCTGGCAGCATCTGTGGAAAGAAATCAGAGTTAACGTTTCGGGTCCAGTAACCCTTCGTCAGATTTTTTTTATTCATTAATGGGATGAGGGTATCGCTGGCTAAACAGCATTTATTGCCCATCCCTAATTGCCCAGAGGGCAGTTAAGGGTTAACCAACCACATTGCTTGTGGGTCTGGAGTCACATGTAGGCCAGACCAGGTAAGGATGGCAGTTTCCTTCCCTAAAGAGCATTAGTGAACCAGTTGGGTTTTTCTGACAATCAGCAATGGATTCATGGTCATCATTAGACTCTTAATTCCAGATATTTATTGAATTCAAATTCCACCATCTGCCGTGGTGAGATTTGAACCCAAGTCCCCAGAATGTTATCTGGATCTCTGGAATATTAGTCCAGCAATAATATGACCAGGCCATTGCATCTCCTGATACTTAAAATGGAACATGATATGAAGCTGCAAAAGCAGGCAGATCACTGAAAGATCGGTCAAGACTTTGAGTTGAGTCTTTATTGAGAAGAGTGGAGTAGGGAGCTGGAAGGGTTGGCAGGCGAAGGATTGGGGGCAATTGGCTTTCAGGGTCATGGTAATAGTGGAGCGATTAAAATGAGGGATGCTTAATACAGAGTTGGTACATTGCTGAGGGCCCTGGTATTTTGTATGCAGGAACATATTTTCCCAATTCTCCCTGAAAATCTCCCACTTCAACTTTAACATGGGAGCGGATTAACGGTTGGTGTGCCTGCTCCAGTTATCTGCCTTGTCAGATATTTAGAAACAGCCTATCCTCTTGTGTATAATGCCACAAAAGATTACGCCTTGATCTATTCCTTTTTTGCGGTAAGATCTTCAGATTACTCATGATCGCTTCAATGATTCTTTGGTCATTAACTAATTAGGGCTCCAATTTCAGTTGCCTGATGTCTCAGTTGCTCTGGGTCCCAGTTACACTGTACTAATTGCACATTTAATGTTAAAAAGTATTAATTGCGTAGTTTTAAATATGTGATTGAGGGTATAAAGACTTTGTTCCACGATAAACATTAAAAATGTTTGGGAAGCAATTTGCCGCTTTGTAATACACTTAAAGCAAAAATGAATAAAACTTTTAATGAGCGACATTAGCAGGAAATGAAACCTCCAGGGAAGTCAGCTGTTAAGGGGTTAATGTTCTGGAACTAAACAGTGCAATAATCAGAAGCATATGGACCCTGGTGTGCAGCTAATCCAAACTCTTTCCGTTATCAGGGAATGCATCAAATTGGAAAGGGGTTTTTTTTCCCCCTCTGCCGACAGGTTGCCCCTCAGAGTGATTAAGATGATTGATGAACTCAACTGACATAGGTAAGGAATGATCAAAAAAAAGCCACAACATCTGCTAATTCCACATGGCCCTGTAATACTGAACACCAGGGTAGACAGGAAAGGTCACATTGCCATTGTCTATCCTGAAGCACACTTACAAATGATTGGAATAAACCCACAGATATACACATTTACACACATTCACTTGCACAATCACACACACACACACTTGCATGCAAGCACACTTGTACACGCTCACTTGCGCACTCACATTTCTATATACATGTTCACAAACATTTGCACACGCTCACACATGTGCGAACACACTTGTACATGCATGTACACGTACACACGCAGATATACATATGCACACATGTACACACTCACCTGTACTCAATAGAAATGTAGTTATCTGACAACCTCAATTTGTTTCCAAACGTTACTGCATTTTAAAATTAAAAATTTAGAATACTGATTTAAACAAATATTTATCACTTCGAAAGAAAATGCTACACGGGATAATGTCAATGACAAACAAAGCCAATTAACTTTGAGAAATTAGTCATTGTTAGAGCCTATGGTAGCATCAGTTAGCAACAAAACGCATATTGTGTCACAGAATGTTGTGGGTTACATTTTCAAATTACATGCATGCATCGTCTTCCAGGCAAAAGCAAAACTTATTAAACAAAACAAAAGTTTTAATTCCTGCAACCTGAATTCTGAATAGGTACATTAGTTAGGATGAAAAGGAATCTGTTTTGGGTAACTCTATCACTAATCGACTGAAACTGAAATCAGATTATTTCCCATGTCCAGAGTGAACCTTCAGTGAGCTTTGCTTCTCATCACTAAGCTAGGATCAAATTTGCCACACGATTATTAAGCAAAGCAGGACAGATTACTTAAAGCAAAAGGGAGGGGACAGGTTATTCTTTTGAACGGTATCTTTTGGCCAATTAACACAATGTCGGCCATTTGAAAATATCTCT